AAAATCAGAGAAGGCTAAGTGAAAAATGGTAATACTCTCTTGAAGAACAATTTATTTCTCATCAGTTATCTGCCAAGAACTATTAATAATTAATATTCTTTTTTTTGTTGGTGGTGAGAGCTGCTGCACAGAGGGTGCTATAGCACACTTATATGGTGCTTTGTGATAATGCAGATAGATTGTTTTACAATTGTTTATAAACAGTAAAGTACCAATTAAAAGTTGAGTTTAGACTGTTTCTGCCAGCTGCATTAGTAGAGAACATCTACACACAGAATGTTACTTGTACTGAATGTGTCCATGCCTTACATAAGACTGGTGTCCCTTGTGCTGGGAACAGTCGGGCTTCAGGCCCTTTGCAAAGGTTCCGTCACGTTTATTGCCTGGCAGGCATGGCCCTAACCTGTCAGAGTTATAACTTATATATACACAATACTTATGTACATTCAATACTTTCACAAAACAAATCCCCTAGGCTATTACAAAGTCACATATATCTCTCTCTATATATTTTTATCGTACTATTATAAAGTGATCAGAACAGTTCAGTGTGAGTCTTCTCCAGGGTCAGTCTGTAACCTGTGTTCTCATCTGGGTTCATGCTCCATTCTTTTTACATAGGCACTTTCCCTCCCTTGTTTAGTACATTTTCCTCTGTTACTCACTTAGAATTAATTGTACATCTTATACCATTCTCAACTTCATTAGCATGTTTAAACCTCTGTAACCATTTTATCTGTCTGTCACAGCATCTAAGGCTATTTTGACTTTCAGCGAAAGTGTTTATGAATATATGTACTTTATATGAGTATGTTCTGATTGATGCTCCGGTGAGCACTACAGTACACCCTGCACAAATAAATATTAATTTCTGCTCAACGTTCACTCTGCAGTTCTGTTCGCTTTGCTGTTTCAAATCTGGTGGAACAGATACGATCACCATTTCTAAGAGGCATATTGCAGTGATTATGATTTTAGTGTATGCCTGTTGAGATATTCTGAAAATGGCAGTCCTTGTTTTTGGACTCCAGTATAAGTTTAACAGTATGCTGTATTTACAGTCTCTTAGTGTAATATCTAGGATTCAACAAATATCCAGGGTAAGCAGTTGATACTCAAAAGGGCAGCTGGACTTTTGGAATGATAAACAAATAAATTGCACATTTCAACTTCATCCACATCTAAGAAGGGTTGTTGACCGTGCTAACTAAAAGAAAATCTTTATAACAACTGTGTGTCTTGTAACTATCTTTGGAAAGGGAAAATAAGCATTGCTGAAGTAAAAGAATCCCTCTAGAAATTCATTGAGTGTTTTTGGCAGCTTGGTATACAAGTATTAAGGTCAGTTAAACATTTTCTTGTAACTTTTTACCACTGTATTACATACTATTAATAGGAATGAGTGTATATCTCATATTTTGAGTATGGGCTTATCAGACTTCTTGGTGTGGTTACCTGGCATCTGGGTCAACGAGCTCATTATGTTCTAGGCTGCTCCATCCCTTACCATTTTGGGAAAAGGTCTGTGTTAAAACAGAGGGGTCTTGTGAACATCAGAACTAATGAGGTCTGCGTCCTTATTAGTGGACTTTGTGACAGACCATAAGAATGCTTTTACCCTCAGAGCTCCCAGGTGGCCACTTAGTTCATCCACTGTAATGAACAAAATTACCTGACCATCCCCAGCCTCCTGCTCAACCGCTAGCTGCTTTCTGGCCATACATAGGCTGGCCATTTCTTGCTGCTTAACCATCAGGTGTGCAGATTGAATGCCTTGCCCTTCAAATGGAGATCTGGGTAGCTTTGAGAGGTACTTGTATCTCCCCAAGCATTTATTACGTGAGCTTGACCTTATAACTTTGTAGTCCGTATCAAATTTCACTGTAGTGGCCAATGTGCCACATGTTTGATGTGACTTTCAAGCAGAAAACCAGAGCAAATAATATTAACTTCAAGGGGATTTGCTTTTGGAGGGATTAATTTTTTTAGAAAACCAGGATAATAGCTAACCAGGCATTTGTCAGCATAAGATGTTTAATACCTGGTTTTAATATTGTTTAATATCTTTATAAATCGATCCAGTGGATCGAGTGCACCCTCAGTAAGTTTGCAGACGACACCAAGTTGGGTGGGAGTGTTGATCTGCCTGAGGGTGGGAAGGTTCTACAGAGGGATCTGGACAGGCTGGATCGGTGGGCTGAGGACAGTTGTATGAGGTTCAACAAGGCCAAGTGCTGGGTCCTGCATTTAGGTCACAACAACCCCAGGCAGCGCTACAGGTTTGGGGACGAGTGGCTGGAAAGCTGCCCCGCGGTGTTGGTTGACAGCGGCTGAATGTGAGCCAGCCAGCAGTGTGCCCAGGTGGCCAAGGCGGCCAATGGCATCAGGAACAGTGTGGCCAGGAGGACTAGGGCAGTGAATGTCCCCCTGTACTGGGCACTGGTGAGCCCACACCTCAAATCCTGTGTTCAGTTTTGGGCCCCTCACTGCAAGAAGGACATTGAGGTGCTGGAGCGTGTCCAGAGAAGGGAACGGAGCTGGGGAAGGGTCTGGAGCACAAGTCCTGTGAGGAGCGGCTGAGGGAGCTGGGGGTGTTCAGCCTGGAGAAGAGGAGGCTCAGGGGAGACCTGATCGCTCTCTACAACTACCTGAAAGGAAGGTGCAGAAAGGTGGGTGTTGGTCCAAGTGAAAAGTGACAGGACAAGAGGGAATGGTCTCAAGTTGCATCAGGAGGTTTAGATTGGATATTAGGAAAAATGTCCTCACCAAAAGCGTCGTCAGGCATTGGAACGGGCTTCCCAGGGAAGTGCTTGCGTCACGATCCCAGGAGGTATTCAGGAGACGTGTAGATGTGGTGCTGAGGGACATGGTTTAGACGTGGAACTGGCAGTTAATGGTTGGACTTAATGATCTTAAAGGTCTTTTCCATCCTGAAATACTCTATTATTCCACGTGTAAATATTCAGTATGTGAGCAGAGAAGTTTTGTCCAGTGGTAGGGTAGCTTGATTTGGTCACGTCAGAGAACATGTTTGATCTCACCGCAGGCAATACCCAGTCAAATATGCCAGTACTGATGCGTCACGTTACAGGAGATGCTGGAAGTCAGGTTGTGTGACAAGTGCCCAGTGGGTCAGATGATCAAAGAGTATATAGCCTTTGCCTGCCATGATAAGAAGCTGTATGGCACATAGCCATGTGTTAAGAAACAAAAGGAGATCCCAATTCTGATGAACCGTCTACTGGAGTTTGGTTCTTGGTAATCCACATAAAGACCTAATTTTTAATTGGAATCCTGTGGGAATAAATGGAGCAAATATAAGGAGGCTCATTGCCCAGCTTTCCTGAACTCCAGCAACATATGTCTCCACCTGCTATGTTTTCTACCCTTTTGTCAGTAACTTGATCAAATATTTATAACTATTGATTAATTCATATGGCTTTGTAGAAGAATGCATGAAATAATTATAAATGCTAGTTGGCCTTATTTAACCTGCCAAGTTTTAACAAAAGATATTTTAGCTGTTAAGATATTTTGAAGGTCTCCAAAATCATCAACAGATCCAGTGAAGTGGTAAATTAGTACCAAAATTGTCAAATAAAGCAGGAATTGGCTACAAGTGAGATGAGAATTGATTTTAAAGAATATTTATTTTATTAATGGAGTGGAGGTGAAGATGAATTAGTCTAAGCCTAATTAGTAGTATCCGTTAGTATCTTCCTTAATGGCAAACAAAAATATTAGAGGTGCACTGCTGATATTTTCTTTTAATAAAAAATAAGGAGACACTGCTATTACAGATTAGGATGCACTGGATGGCCTGCAAATTGGAGTAAAGAGACACTGATCACACTTAACCATAATGCTGCAAAACAAATCTGGTATCAGTGAAAGAAATATGAGATCAAACTGGAGTGGATGAAGACAAAATTGCAAGAAATACTAAGGAAAATAACATTTCAGTCTTATAAATAGACCTTGGAAAGCTTGACAATTGTTCATTCTAATAAAAATTGAGAAAGAATATCAACACTTGATAATTGTGAGGGAATAAATATACAAAGGAAAATTAAGTCAAATGACAATTTTGACAGCAAATATATGTAAGGATTATTAAATTAATTGTGTAATTAAAAGAAGGTTTGCAGTCTTGGCACCAATTGTGGTAAAAGAAAACTTTCTGAAATGCAGCTTGCTTTTGTGGAAGTGATTATGTGTTGTCTTTGCCTAAAATAGCAGAGACAGACTTGATGACATTAGATGATTGTGTTCATTATCCAAAGATGAATATTACTGAAATTGGTAATTTTACCTGCAGAAAGCAAGTATTAGGTTGGAGCTTGCTATAGAAATTGAGTGTAAAAGGAGAAACATGTCTACTATCTGTTATCAATTCCAGAATGTGAAAAGGTTTACATTTTGGTTAGAAGTGGTGTTACTTTGCATGATGCCAAATAAACCTAAATTCACTTACTTTTTTTTTTTTTTTCAGTTTTATTCAAATATAGGAAACTAATTTTACTGAAACAACAAACTCTGCATTTGAAGATTCAGTCTTTTGAAGAAAAGGCTTTTAAGTTCATTTAAAAAAGGGTATTCTAGAGAATTCTGACATACAAAAAAAGCTTTATTTATACAAAAAAAGCTTTTATTTTATACAAAAAAAGCTGGGATTTATGAGGCCATACACTATCAGAATAAATGGTGGTCTTGTTCTTCTGTATTTTCCTAGTTCCTCAGGCTTAGAATGGA